GCCCGCCCCTGCCTTTGTAAGGCTCATCCGCGGATGAGTCCAGGATCCGGCCTTTTCCCTTTGCTGGCAAAACTTCCCGGGGTTCCCTCTCCCCCCTCACCCCGCTTTGTCTGTTCTCAGGGAAAAGCAAAAGTTTTACAAGGTAAAAACACCTTGAAAATAAATGATGTATCAATATATTTAATTTAATTCTTCCAAATAAGGCAACAGGTTTTCCAAAGGTGGGGCACAGGATTTTTTTGTATTGAAAAGGAAGCTGATTCAGGCTGCGGAAAGCGCCGCCCCAGCCCCCAGCTTCTCCAATATATACCTATGTGTACGTATGGATGTATATAGGTGTGTGCGTGTATGTATATATGTATAGGCACACATATATGCATATATTTACATACATACATATATACACACATACACACACATGCACATATATATATACATATACACATGTGCGCACACATGCACACACACACATATATATATGCACATACACAAACACACACACACGCACATATATACATATTCATACTTACATACGTGCACGCACATACATATATACATATTTCTTTCTCCTTCCCATTTCTTCCAGCTAAACTTTGCCTCCAGCCCAGCTCGGAGCAGCTGTCCCCAGCCCGGCCCAGAAAGCAAAGCTCCGAAACATGAATTTGGCTCTAATCAAAGAGGCTATTTAAAATAATAATAATCGTCATCATTTTTTAAAAAAATCTTACCCAGAGTTTGTTTCTTTTCTTCTCCCTCCCCACTGAAAAGATTTCTTATTTCCCATGAACTTCTAGCAGACTCCCTGCCCCCCCGCCCCCCTTTATTTTATTTTATTTTATTTTATTTTATTTGCACCCCGTGAGCCCTTTGCAAACTCTTTGGACCCCGGCCGGATCTGACAAAGGAAAAAGCCAAGCGGGTCCACATCCGCTGGCCGAACGAGCTGGTGGGATGCCTTCAAGAGGGGTTGAAGACATTTCTCTACCCCCCCCCGCCTGCCCCGCACGCCTCGTTTAAATCACCCGGCCCCCGCAGAGAGTTTACCTGCTCTTTGCCTTTTTATTTTTTTTCCGTTTAAAATAATAAAGAAGAAAAGCCAAAGGCCGGGAGTTCAACCCATGCCTTCGCTCGCCCCAAAAACCCACATTTTAGCGGGTGGAAAGGATCCACCCGGCTCATCCTACGAACCCGGGGGCCGGGGGTGGGGCTGGATTTGTCCTTCCACTTTCTCCTGGTGTGATCTGCTACTTGAATTCACTTTTGTTATCAAATACCTTTTCTTTTTTCCAATTTAAAAGATAAGATGCCTAAGTATTCAGTTGAATTCACTTTTATTCCCAAATCTCTTCTTTTTTTCCCCCCCAATTTAAAAGATAAGACACCTAAATATTCTTTTGCATTCACTTTTATTCCCAAATCTCTTTTTTTTCTCAGTTTAAAAGATAAGACGCCCAAATATTCTGGGTTTTGCACTGGGCTGGCTCTGGCCGCTGCCGTTTTGGGGTTTTCCTATTTTTTCTTCTATATGAAAAGCCCCCAAGAGTCACTTTTCTGCCCCCTCCCATAATACTAGTGTCCCTGCGGATATTTGCACAATGATTTTAAGCAGTGACAGAAGCTGGGGGGGGAGGGGGGGTCAGCTCTATTCCCGCTGCCCCTGCATGGACTCCGAAAGGGGGAAAAGCCCCCCAAAAACTCATTTAAATGTCATTTTTTAAGCCAGGAGAAACTCTTTGGGGAGACGTGGGTTGATACGTCTCAGCATCGGACGCCTGCAAACTCCACGACCCCCCCCCCCCGAGATTCGTCCCCCACTTCGTCTCTCTGCAAAAAGGGGGTGAAAACAAGTTGGGAAAGGGAGAACTTTGCAAAAGCCGCTCGGCGAAGGCAAAAATCCAGCAGGCGAGAGGGACCCAGCTCCGGCGCGCTGGCAAAATGACATGGGGTGGATCCGGGGGGCTGGAGGGTGGACGCTGAGACACGTGGGGGGGTTCACATGCACCCACTGAACCCCGAAAAGCGACGGGAGACTTGGAGACCCTCGAATT